CCGGCTTCACCTCTGTGTGTGTGTGTGTGTGTGTGTGTGTGTGTGTGTGTGAGAGAGAGAGAGAGAGAGAGAGAGAGAATAAATTCAGGGCAAAGGAAGAAAGAACACAGTTAATGGTGTGAGGGAGGGTTCATTCTTGCTGTGTTGTTTTTGTTGTTAAGAATCAGCCAGTTTTGAATGAAGGAGGTGAACACGAAAGAGCAAAGGATGAAAAAGATGAGCGGCGATCTGCTTGGTTCTTTCCCTGTTTGCATCTCTTTTGCCTGTGCGTTTGATGGAGTCAAACGAGTCGTATGATAGACGATATTGACAAGCTTAAATGCCCGTATTGGATGAGAAGTGGCCCCTGGGTGCTGCCCCAGCGTTTTCTAAGAACAGACCGCCAGACAAAAACCACAAACTCACATACAGCATTACCCCTTTTTGCTTCCACAGCACTCTCAACAATTACCTCCCAGCTCTTTAAACACACACACACACACACACACACACACACACACACACACACACAGGCTATCTTTATGACTGCAGCATTTCCACCATTCTAGCCCACTTTTTTTTCTGATTCCTTCACCCAGAGACCATTAAACCAGATCCCTTCTAAAAGGCTTTAAGGCCTCTCTTGGCTAGCCACTTCTTCTCCAAAGCACTGCCATGGCTCTTTCTGTGTTTTTAAATCAAAGTCCATGAAATGTTGAGGGGGAGGAGGGGTGAAGCGAGGAGAAATTTGGGACGGATTTTTGTGTTTGTGGGTTGGAGACAAATCTTAGTTACAAACCCATATGGTCTTACTCACACACACAGGCACTCAGGATTAATCTGATACGCTACATGCCCTCCTGGCCTGTTCTGCTCTGGTGGGATTTTATTTTTTCCCCCTCTGTCTCCCCTCTCACCTGCTGAGAGTTACTGTAGATATGTAACCTGCTCTCTTTCTTTTTGTCTCTTCTGCTTACACACACACACACACACACACACACACACACACACACACACACACACACACACACACAACTGCACCCACACACTCCTGCAGCACAAACACTGGTATGAAAGACAGTCTGGAGGTGGCCTCTGCTGTGATTCATTTGCTTCTCTCGCAGACTGTTCTGATTTGAAGGATCGCCGCGGTGTGTAGCTTTTTTGATTCGGCTGGTAGTCAACCTGAAAATGTTTTCCTTGATGGTTTTTTGGCAGAGTCCATGTTGGGAGAGCTCCGGCCAGCTCACTTCACCTGCCAGCTGCTCAGCTCAGGCTGGTCCTTGTGGAGACATTTTTTTTCAGAAAGACAACCACGCTCTACTCACCCACCTTTCTCCACCTGGCCCTGCAGATCAGGATCCATATGCATCAGTGTCTCACCTCACCAGCGCTGACTCACCTTCATTTAATCTTTTCCGACTGCAGCCAGTGTTGATGGGTGTTGTGGTGGGTCCAAACCTGAGGTGTAGAATTTTAAGGTGCATGCAGTTATTGATTGCCCTGAAAAACTGTTCTTTACAAAACTAGCAAGCACAGTGGGCTGATTCAACTTCTACACAATACATTTTATTCCTTTTTGTAAAAGGTTTAAAATACAGATACTAGGAGGGGGGAAGGATACTGTGCAACTATACACAACTTCCTCACACCCTGCTATTTCCTCAACATCATCCCCTTTTTAGTTGACTGCCCATCTCAGCACTCGTTTTTTGATATTTCATTCTAATTATAATGAACAACCATTAACGTTGAAGGCTATTGTTAATTAGGGCTGCTCGTCTGTTAAAGTCCTATTCTGTCACTTTTTCTTTTGTCGTCAAGGGATTTTGGAATATAAAATTGATGAACACTAACTTACACTATCTACAAAAACCTCCTGTGCATTTGTGAACTTGACCTCACTGCAAGACGATGTAGTTCCAGAAGTTAATATATCAACAAGACTAATAGTCTACAGCCACACCAGCAGTTCTGGGAGGCACAGGCTCAGCTGTGGTTTGAGCTAAATGCTAAGGTCAGCATGCTAATGTGCTCACATTGACAATGCGATAGTGCTAATGTTTAGCAGATGAGGTTTACCATGTTCACCACCTTAGTTTAGCATGTTAGCATGCTAACATTTGCTAATTAGCACAAAACTAAATAAAGCTGAGGTTGTTGGGAATGGCATTGGTTTTGCAGGTATTTGTTCATAAACGCAAATATTGGAGAAATAAAACTTGGACCTGGTGAGGGGCGCTAGATGAAATTTCAGAGGATGACAAACGTCACAACATTAGGATTAAAATTTCTCTATGGAATTTTTAGCTGCTGGTGGCGCTAGAGAAGAAGTCAGTGGATGACCAAATTGTCAAGATTCATCCTCCGAGAATCATGAAATTCTGTACAAAATGTCATGGCAATCCATCCAATGTTTGTTGAGATATTTCACTCTGAACCAAAGTGGAAGACCGACCAACCAACATAATTATCCATGATGCTGGGCACGGCTAAAACAACAAAACACTTGGTACAAAGCCCTCATTAATGCCCTCCTTTTTTCTGTCAATTCAAGTTTTCAGTCAGGGGCAATATTATAGCACTAACCTAAAACACCTTGTTCGTTGCCAACTTGTACCTTAAAACTGATTTCTACTCTCTCACCTGCGACTGGAAATCCTTTGCAGTCACATCCCTTTATGAACCATTTTGTACTTTGCAAGCATTTTGGCTCCTTTCTGATAAGGTGTGAAACCTACCTTTGAGCTTCACTTGAGTTATAGGATGTGTTTTACCCAGATAAGCCATACTATATGTGACTCGGTGGAAGATAAATGGACACCTTGTTCTTTCCCCTTGTTGTCTCTAGGTTTTCCATCTTCCTCTGCCTCGACTCAGTAACATTTAAGTTAGACCTGCAGGGGGCAGGAGGGCAGTGAGACAGGGATAAAGAGAGACTGAGAGAGAGAGAGAGAGAGAGAGGCAGCATTAGAGTTACAGAGGTGTGATTAAGTCCAAGGGTGTGTATGTAGAACAAAATGAAGAGAATGAGGAGTAAATGGACAATTGAAGAGTAGTACTTTCATCATTGTTACTAGGATGGGCGTCAAATGGATTCGTGTAGCTCAGAATGGGCCTGTCTAAAACATAGCACAACCTATATACTCTATTTTGAAAGCTTGTGTATTTGAGTCTGTGGTTGCAGGATACATTTTTTCAGTCTGTCAAAAAGAATTGGCAAGCAGGGGCATCATTTATCAGACTAAGATTTTATATTTTATATTATTATTATTTTATATTATCACTATGTTTTCTTGCCAGATTCGCTTGCAACTGCGTGGCGGTTCCACTTCTTGTGTGTCCCTGGACAATGACGATTTCACACCTAGTCTGCCCAGTCAGAGACAGGGAAGTTCAAGTGGTGGCAGGAAACAATAAAAAGTAGGGGTAGCGCAGGGTGAGAGGTTGTAGAGCGCAAGGGAGAGAGAACATTTCATGCAGCAGCATTGACTGACAAGCCTGAGGGAACTCTTCTTCATCGTCCTCTCATGTTGGACTGAGGTCCGCCTGGACACTACAGGGAGTCACTATCGCATCTCGAGTCGCGGGGGGTATTGCAATATAGAACAGGCTGGGGCAAGCTGGATAGCATGCTAACTTCAGTAGATATTTCTGCAGCAAAATACATAGACTTTTTTGTCATGATGTCAGAGCTGTTACTTCTACACGTTCTATTGAATCTTACACATTGTACCTTTAATGGTACATAAACATTGCTACGTATGTTTGAAAATCCGGTAATGACTGACAGTGTTGATTTAAAGTAATTGTAGCCTACAGTATTTCTCTTTTGCTGCCTTCTCAAGCTCTAGCATTCTTGAGTGTTTCGCTCCTCTCAGTATTTCATATTGAACATCAAAGTCAAGCCATATTTTCATTTAGTTTTCAAAACATGTCAGACTTAGATTTCACTCTTAAGTGCATGTTGACAGACTTTAAAAAATATATGTTTAAGTTGATGAGGAAAAGTTTGTATTTGTATGCAGTCATCGCTAGTTGATGTGCTCTTTGCATGTAACAAACTGTACTTGCTGACTTGCTTTTTGGGAATTTCAAAAAGAGACATTGAAGTTTTTGACAGGGATGCCTAGAAAAAGCGATTTTTGTTCTCTAATGTTCTTTGATGTTTGTTTTTTATTTGTTTTCCAAGTTAATCACAGCGGCGAGTCAATTCTCTCTTCTCTCTCTCTTCCTCTCATCTTATTTTGTCTTTGTGATTGATGAAGGGTTTGAGGAAGCACTGGGGAAGCCTACAGAAAGGACAAACAGTCTCCCACATATTGTTGCAGTGTTGAGTGTGACGAGGGAGGTGAAGTAGCTATCAATACCCGTATTGATGACTACAGTGGAAGCTGGTGGAAGTGTTCTGCTTCCCTATTGATCGCTGATCCATTATGAGCTGTTAGTAGACCGCTAGGTGAATGATGGGGTACAGCCCATCCATCATAAGTTGACGCCCACGCTGCTTGGCAGACATGTTCTCGAAGCTGTTTAGCTTGTCTGTTATTCTCCTCCTGCTCCAGTTCTTATGCGATCCTCCTTCTCTCACTCCTTTTCTCTGCTGCTCATCAAACACAAAACACATCCAACCCTCAGCACAGATGGAGTAGACATTTAGGCTTGAATCTGACAGCACCTGTCTCCACACTGACATAGAAAAATACTCTTAATAGAATTATTTGCTAAAATTTCTGTCAAGATCAGCTTTCCCCCCTGCAAACTGTCTAATAAAGACGGAAAAGTCTTTCAGATGTCTTTTCACTCTGAATGAAACATATTCAATCTGAATAGAGTGAATGGATGAAATACAATTGGTACAATGAAGAAAAAAAATGAACCACATCATGTTGAACTATTAAGTGTTTTAACTATGAAGATGAATAAGTGTCTTACCTGGGATACTAATTTAAACTCTCTTCTCTTCTACTCTTCTCCCTGCTTTTCTATTCTATTGTATTCTTTTCTGGTCTATTGTCCAGGTCACTGATCGGTCCGTGCGAGCGGTTGCAGAGCATTGTCCTGAGCTGCAGTTTGTTGGCTTCATGGGATGCCCTGTGACCTCTCAAGGGGTCATCCATCTTACTGCGGTAAGTATCACACGTTTTTGACGTGCATTATCACGGTGTTCCTTGGACCCTCAGTCGTGACAGATTAAAAGAATTCAAGTCGTGTGTTTACTTACGGTAAATGTGAAGACACCGTAGTTCCTGCAGCACATTTAAAAGAAGGTTAATTTCAGTCAACCATTTAACTTTTTGAAGTAATTACTTACCATAAATATCAACAGAAGTTTTAGCGTGACGTTTTTTTTGTCTAATCCTGTTACCGTAGGCCAGCTCTCCATGTTGCTGCAGGCCATGCATTGTCTCCAGGGGGGGAAATTAACTTTTGCAGAGTAAACTCAGGACCTCGCTGTGTGTTTTATCTTAGACTTAGTTTTGAAGTTATTTTGTGTTAACTTTTAAATCTCATGAAAGCCTAATGAGATGAATCCTAATAATACGCTGCTGTTCGGACTACACCCTGCTGTTTGGATATTACCATGCTAATGAGCGGGGCTCCGTGGTTTAAGATGTGCCATGCCATATAAACATGGACACACATGCACTCACACGGCGATTACTTGAGTTGAATTCCCCGGGAAATACCGCACCTTGTTTTTCTTCTCATACATTTCCTTTTTCCAACATCCATCTATAATGTGTGTGTGTGTGTGTGTGTGTGTGTGTGTGTGTGTGTGTGCACCTATGTGCGAGTGTGTATGGCGTGTCCGCACCCATGTATGCTTGTGTTAATACAATTCCATTTATGTTTTATGTACTTGGGTGTACACGCTAGTGTGAACGTCCCCTTGTGGGCTGTGCGGGTCCATTCCTCCTCAAATGCAATTACAGTTGTGTTAATAGGACTGAGACACCCGATGCCACGCTGCATTATTAGATTAAACAGCAGATTAATTTGTGCTCATGGTTTTGGCCCCCTATCATCTCTGCAGCCTCCACTGACCTTGGCCAGTGTGTTTTAGACAGACAGTAATGAAGCCAGCCAGTCATAACAGCATTAGCATACCTGGAGGTGGACGCATTCACATCCACATCCACCCACACGCACAGTCTAGCATACCTCATTATTATTTATTACAGTATTAACCAAGGTGAAGTTTTAGGAGTTTAGATGAGCAAGTTCATAATTCTGATAATATTTATATATTTTTTTAAAGCCGCAGTTTTGTCTCAACTGAAAAAGAAGTTCTCACCGTTTTATCAAGGTTATGAGCTTTAACAAGACAGATACCACAGATGCATACAGAGGCACACTCTCCATCTTTACCAACTTGACAGAACAACACATCAGCTTGAGAAGGTGGCCACACACACACACACACACACACACACACACACACACACACACACACACACACACACACACACACACACACACACACACACACACGCATGCATACACGCAAAAACACAGCAGTGATACTACTACACACGCCTGCGTACCAGTTATGCATTTGTATAACCCCAGAGGGAGGTCTGCTGTGTCAATTACTGGTTGTCATAACTTGAGCAATCCCTTGATATAGTTGTGTAAAATTTAGGTCAGTTTCTCCAAACATAATACAATTAGTGTCCATTTTATTCTGTACGCCTCTCCAATCTAATGTAATCCAATACATATTTTAGTTTTTCTCATTGAGATTATAGTTAGTGTGTGGTGTTGAAGTGGACTTTATTACTGTGACTGACCTGTTTTACTCCTCAACACACCTAGAATCATTGATGGGTGTGGTCAGAAGCATGCTCTTCTGCACTTTTAATCACATCCAATGGTGATGTCACAGTATACCGAGTACACTAAAGCCTAGTTCACACTACATAATGCTAAGCCCAATTTGCCGGTCGGCGAGCTCGGTGACCGTCGGGCTGTGATCAGGGGTAAATCAGTGATCGATTGGTGGTCACCAGTCGTTATGTGTGAACTACTCAACGACGCATCAAAACGGCTCCCGGACACATTTCTGACACATCGCTGACGCCAGCCAGATATCTATATATCTGGAGGAGTCGGCCGACTCGACATCCTCATCCAGACAATGAGAGCAGGCAGCTGGCAGAGCAGGCAGCTACTTTTTCAATGCAAAACACTTTTAACTCACCTCCAGCTCTCTCTGTAGGTCAGACGATCTCTGCTACCTGTGTGTGCTAATCCATTCTTTCAACCATATTCTTTGTCTTAATTGCTATCTTTATAATAACAAACAACATCTGTATTGCATGTAGGTTCGCGTCATTTCCCGTTTCACATTTCACGTGTGTTTTCTTGACAAAACGTGGTTTGGAGACCAGCGTCGGGTGACACAGCCGTTGTCAGCTCGTGTAGTGTGTGACCCCCTGTCACCGATCAGTCACATAGTGTGAACGCCAAAATGACTTCAAGACTCTTGTCAAGAGCACATCAATTCAATTCAATTCAATTCAATTTATATAGCGCCAAATCACAACAACAGTTATCTCACAGCACTTTTCATAAAAGAGCAGGTCTAGACCGTACTCTGTGATGATATTTACAGAAGCCCAACAGTTCCCACCAAGAGCAAGCACTAGGCGACAGAGGCAAGGAAAAACTTCCTTTTAAGAGGCAGAAACCTTGAGCAGAACCATGGCTCAGGGTGGGCGGCCATCTGCCTCGACCGGTTGGGGGTGAAGGAGAGAGAGAGGGAGAGAGAGAGAGAGCAGGAGAGGAATAGAGAGAAAAAGAGAGGGATGTAAGGAGAGAGAGAGGGGAGGGAGGCAGCCTACATAATATACACACAGAGGTACAGACAGTGAAGGTGATGTTGCTATAGACTAAATGAAAAATGGTACAGATATTTATAATAGTGTTAATGGTAACAATCGTAATGTTAACAATAATAACAATAAGACTAGCAACAATAGTCGTTGCAGCAGAGGGTGTCGAGCAGGAACACGGGGGCAGCAGGTGACCCGCAACCACAGATCCAGACTCCACAGCTCCAGAGCAAGAAAACCTGCAGGAAGTGATAGGAGAGAGGAGAGAGACGAGAAAGCACAAGACTACCAGAAAGGGGAGAAGTTGTGTTAGTAACATGCAATAATGGGATGAGGTTGCATACAGAGGGAGAGAAAGTAGAGGAGAGAGGAGCTCAGTGCATCATGGGAAATCCCCCGGCAGTCTAGGCCTATAGCAGCATAACTAAGGGATGGTTCAGGACTCACCTGAGCCAGCCCTAACTATAAGCTTTATCAAAGAGGAAAGTCTTAAGCCTACTCTTAAATGTGGAGATGGTGTCTGCCTCCTGAACCCAAACTGGAACCTGGTTCCACAGGAGAGGAGCTTGATAGCTGAACGCTCTGGCTCCAAGTCTACTTTTGGAGACTCTAGGAACCACAAGTAACCCTGCATTCTGGGAGCGCAGTGCTCTGGTGGGGTAGTAAGGTACTATGAGCTCTTTAAGATAAGATGGTGCCTGACCATTAGGAGCTTTGTAGGTAAGAAGAGTGATTTTAAATTCTATTCTGGATTTTACTGGAAGCCAATGCAAAGAAGCTAAAACAGGAGAAATGTGATCTCTTTTCCTAGTTCCTGTCAGAACACGTGCTGCAGCATTCTGGATCAGCTGAAGAGTCTTAATGGACTTTTTCGAGCAGCCTGATAATAAGGAATTGCAGTAATCTAGTCTAGAAGTAACAAATGCATGGACTATTTTTTCTGCATCATTTTTAGACAGGATGTTCCTGATTTTTGCAATATTACGTAGGTGAAAAAAGGCGGTCCTTGAAATTTGCTTAATGTGAGACTTAAACGACATGTCCTGATCAAAGATAACTCCAAGATTCCTCACAGTGGTGCTGGAGGCCAGGGCGATGCCATCCAGGGAAACTATATCTTTAGATAATGCGTCACGGAGGTGCTTAGGCCCCAGAGCAATAACTTCAGTTTTATCTGAGTTTAACATGAGAAAATTACAGGTCATCCAGGTTTTAACATCCTGAAGGCACATTTGAATTTTAGCTAACTGATGAGTTTCATCTGGCTTGATCGATAGATATAACTGAGTATCATCTGCATAACAATGAAAGCTTATGGAATGTTTCCTGATAATATTGCCTAAAGGAAGCATATATAAAGTGAAGAGGATTGGTCCAAGGACAGATCCTTGAGGAACTCCATGACTAACTTTGGCATGCATGGAGGACTCATCGTTAACATGTACAAACTGAAATCGATCTGATAAATAGGACTTAAACCAGCTTAGAGCGGTTCCTTTAATGCCAATGAAATATTCCAGTCTCTGCAATAGGATCTGATGGTCAATGGTATCAAATGCAGCACTAAGATCTAATAAAACCAGTACAGAGACAAGTCCTTTGTCTGATGCAATAAGGAGGTCGTTAGTAATTTTCACCAGTGCTGTCTCTGTGCTATGATGAGCTCTAAATCCTGACTGAAAATCCTCAAATAAACTATTGCTCTGTAGAAAGTCACACAGCTGTTTAGCAACTGCTTTCTCCAGAACCTTAGAGAGAAATGGAAGGTTAGATATAGGTCTATAGTTGGCTAAAACATCCGGATCAAGTTTGGGCTTTTTCAGAAGAGGTTTAATTACAGCTACTTTAAAGTACTGTGGTACATAGCCTGTTGATAAAGATAGATTGATCATATCTAGTATAGAGGTGCTGACTAAGGGTAAAACATCTTTAAGCAGCCTAGTCGGGATGGGGTCTAAGAGGATGGTTGATGGTTTAGATGAAGAAATTATTGAAGTTAGTTGGTAAAGATTGAGGGAAGCAAAACAGTCTAAACATGTATCTGGTTCTACAGCTGTTTCTAAGGTTATAAGTCGGTGCCAGTTGAGGGCAGGTCTTGGTGAATTTTGTCTCTAATAGCTAGAATTCTATCATTAAAGAAGCTCATGAAATCGTAACTACTGAGATCTATGGGAATACTTGGCTCAATAGAGCTGTGACTCTCTGTCAGCCCGGCTACAGTGCTGAAAAGAAACTTTGGGTTGTTCCTATTTTCCTCTATTAATGACGAGTAGTACGCTGCTCTGGCATTA